TCGGTGATACTAGATTGGTAGTTAATGAGGGATTAATAGTTAATAGTTAGTTGGAATAAACAAGATATTATGAAAATATAATTAATATTCCTCATTAATGATTATCTTTCTCTCTCACCCTTGATCTTCTCCATAACCCTCTCCCTCCACTACAAGTAAAAGGAAAATCAAAATTAATTAAATTAAATATTATTATTTAATATTTAATAAATTCGAACTTAATATTTTTTATTCTTTAAAATGAAAATTGAAAATTAAAAATATATGCTCTCTCTCACTTAGTGGCAACTTGCAATGCAGTATTAACATTTTGCAATGACATTATCAGCATTTATGAAATGAATCGTTATTATTATACCTCATCATTATTAACGACTTCAATATACTTATCAATTTCTTACAATTACATTATTAACAATTTTGGATCAATTGTTACCGTTTTATAGTTTTGTCATCAACGACTATGAATGAATCATCAAAGTTATGTAACATGGTCATTAACAGTTGAATAACAATATCATTGATTTACAACATCTTTAGTACTAATGATTCACATTTTCACATCATGTTTATAACTATCTAGTCATGGCCTCTTCCAATGATTTCTAATGACGTTATTAACTTTTTATGATCCATTAATATTGCTTTACATTATCATTCTCAATGATCATAAAGCACAATACTTATTTTCAACATCTTGGGTACTTGTGACATAGTGCACCTGTGTTATTCAGTCAAACGAACATTGTCAAGAAAACTATTAGCTCAAGCAAACCAACATTCACGCCTCAACACCAAATTTTTAATAACAATACAATAAATCATTGATAATTAAAAGTATTTCGTTGAAAATAAATACAAAACATCAATGTAAAAATGTCCGACTTCAACATTATAAATGACATCAAGCTTTTAATAAAGATATTAAAGACCATTAATAACGAATGATCAAGTCACTGATAAGGAAATAGATTTTTGTTATAAAAAATATTAATAATATTCAGATACAATGTTTAATGTCAAATAGCACTAAAAATGCATTAATAAGTAACATGTGTTTAATGGATAATGCATCCAAAAACTTTGATAATGATACAAACTAATGATTGTTAAGTACCTTACTAGATATTATTAATATCTTATTTTTTCAAACATTGATAATGCTTATACACACCTATTAATAATGACACCTATTAATAACCATAGTTATATCATTAAACGTAAATTCACTTTTGCTAATCTCATAAACAAACGAATACCTAACAAGTATGCTTCCTGATAATGACATTTGACAAAGTTACAAACATAAACGAAAAAATATTAATAATTCAAATCACTAAACATAACCAATGTTACAAATGAAATAAATTTTTGCTAATGGTTGTATTGTTCTTGGAAAAAAACATTGATAATAGCGCATCAAATGATTATAAATCATTGCGAACCAAATTGATAATACGATGTAATAGTAAATAAACTTCAATTACCAACAAATTGAAAACACAATTTCACTTTTGCTAATGATACAAACAAAACATAACATAAAAGGTTAGGACTTTGCTACGGTGACATGCATGTCACGGTGACATGCACTTTTCGGTCGACCTCATATATGATTAGGTCGACCTAATATGTTGTTTCAGTGTAAAAACAGTTTCATGGTGCCTACTTTGGAGATTTATATCTTACAATTGGCAAGATGGAAATTGGAGATTAAAGGCTTGGTTTGAAGCTGAAGTGTCCCTCTACACATTAAAGTACTTGGGAGCTCAATAGAAAGTCCAGAAGACAATTTTTGAACCTGACCAAAAGGCAATGCCAAAACTGGGAAACTGCCTGAAAATGGCTAAGTCTGGCAACGTGTTTGTCAAGCCTACTTTGGAGCTCAATTTGAGAAGCATGGATGCGAGTCAAGTCCAGGGGCCTCTACCACTTTAAATTACGTATTTTATTATAAAAATGCAAGGGATTGGATGAAAGATTGAATATCTTTAAGGCTTCAAACAAAAGGCTCGAAGTTGCTACAAAGGCTGTTTTTCTGGCAGCTTGCTTGTGCTCGAAGTCTGCCAGAAAAACAGCCTTCGTAGCAACTTCGACCATTTTGTTTGAAGCCTTACAGATATCCAATCTTTCATCCAATTCCTTGAATTTGCGACGCCGGCGAAGTTAGAGGCAGAGACAATGAGCAAGATGGAAGGATTCACGACGGTGAAAAAATCATAATTAAAGAAATTTGGATTTTCCTTTTTTAATTTATAATAATTAGTTGGAAAATAAGAAATAATTTTATTTTATTTTATTATTATTTTTTTAATTGTCATGTCACTCATTTAATGGTCAACTATAATAGTTGACCGTCACATCAGTAAAAGTTAACGGAGACTAACGGCAAGTGACCAAACTTGAACTATTAACCTAATTTAAGTGACTACGGATGGAATAAAGTAATTCTAGTAGCCAACGTAAAATTTACTAGTAATTCAAGTGACCAAACTTGCAATTTAGCCGATTTAGTAGTCTTTCAATTCTGAAAATTTGAAAATTTGGGAATTAGTCTTAACTCCCACCTTATAAAAAATGTGGAAATTGATTAGAATACCGATTTACCCCTTTCTTTGTGAGACGGAAGAGCAAAATGATGGAAAGGAAGAAGAGAGAAAGGAGGAAGAGGGTAACAGAATTGTGTGAGAAAAAAAGAAGAAAACGTGCAATTTTCAGTATACATGGGAGTAAGCATCGTAATTATAATTTTCAGGGTTAATTCCATGAATATTGTTTTTTTTTAATTTACCACGAATATAGTGGTTTTAAAACTATTTACAAGAATATTGTGTTTTTTATATGTTGAAAGCGCCGAAGCCCCAGTCCGGGGCGCCGCCGCTAGGTGCTTTTTTAAAAACAAAACTTGGCGGCGGCGCCCCGGACTGGGGCTTGGGCTCTTTTGAGAAAGTAAAAGCGTCGGCGCCCCAGACTGGGGCTTCGTCGCTGCCATTTTTTTCCACTCCAGCACCACCCATTCATATATATACTGCACCTTTCCTTCGGTTCTTCATCACCAAAAAACTGAAAGAAGTTCTGAGAGAAGCTGTCTGGTTGCTGGGAAGATGGCTAATAACAAGTAAGAGTCGTAATTTTTTTTTCATGTATTCATCATAATGATTTTGTCCAGTTAGTAATTAGAGTTTGTTTTTAATGTAGTGGTTTTAGAAGATTTCAACTAGCTGTTCGGTGGCGATCAGAGAAAGTAGAAGACAATTTGGGTGTCCATTTTGTTGGTGGTTTAAGTTTCCAGATGACTATTCCATCCAGGTTGAACTATCAGAAACTTTGTGATCATCTAATTCGGAGAATACGGATTAGAGACGAAACAGTACAAGATAGTGTTGTGATTACAGGTTTCACCTACTGTCTTCCAGAATGGCAGAATGGTGTTTTATTTCATTATGCAATGCCTATTGTGATGATGATAGCTTAAATGTGCTTTGGAATTTTATGGCATAAAATCCTTATTGTTTGGGTGCTGAGATACATGCTGAGCTCAGTGAGGATCGGGATGGAGAGGAAGACGATGATGACGGTGATGACACATGGAGCATGCCATCTGATCATGATTATGATGACGGTGATGACGGAGATGAGGAAGACGATGATGATGAGGAGGAGGAGGAGGAGGAGGACGACGGGGAGGGAGGAGAACTACCTAATTATCCTCCATATTTTTACTTGCAGGGTAATGAGGAGGACGAGGAATTATCATATGCTGATTCATATGGCGTAAGGTGGCAGATTAAGCACTATGCACTACAACGCAACTTTCAGTATAACGTGGTGGAGTCGTCACCTTCAATCAGGAAGATCAGATGTTTGATGCACAAGGAGGACAAATGTCCTTGGATGGTGCGGTTTGGATGTCGAGATGTGGGAGGCGATTGGAGCGTGAGAAAGGTCGAGTTGGTGCATACTTGTAGCAGTACGACTCAACCGACGGATCATCGCCATCTTGATGTCGACGTGATATCTGAGGCCGTCAACCATTTGGTACGTGCCCAACCAAATCTGAGTGTTCTAACTGTGCAAGCCGAGTTGAAAGATAAGTTTAATATGCAAGTTACTTACAAGAAGGCTTGGTATGGGAAACAAAGAGCATTGGAGAAGTTGCATGGAAATTGGGAAGAATCCTATGATTTTTTGCAAACATTCTTGCGGGTGGTCAAGAGAAAAATGCCAACATCGGTGATTGATTGGGTAAGAGTTCCTTCGACTCAACCAGGTCATTCGATATTTCAGCGAGTATTTTGGACTTATGGACCTTGTATAGATGGATTGAAATATTGTCCAGGCGTCATGGTTGTTGATGGGACATTTCTTACTGGGAAGTATAAAGGAGTGCTACTCATGGCGAGCTCAGTTGATGGCCGGAAGAAGATTTTTCCAATTGCATTTGCCATAGTGGAGAGTGAGAATACTGATAGTTGGCCATGGTTCATACGTCACGTTCAGGGTTTGACTGATCGAAATGATGTATGCATCATCTCAGATAGACATGCAGGACTCTATGAAGCCATGAATAACATCGGAAGAGGTTGGGAGTGGAGGTGGTGCATGCGACACTATGCAAGCAATTTGCAAAGGAAGACTAAAAGCCGAATTATGTATAAGCAACTATTTCGAGTCGGTAAGCCTTCTTCATTTAATTTTGTTATTTATTTTTAGGTAATTTTGTCATGAATTTATCTAACCCGTGTGGTTGATTATTTTGTTAGCCGGAGAAAAACGCTTGGAGAAGTTCGATTGTCAAGTTGAGCAATTTAAGAAGGTGGCCACTGATAGAAATATTTCATGTGATAACTGGGTGGACCAACATCAGATTCGTTGGAGTTTAGCACATGATAACTACAATGGTGGGCGTCGTTGGTCTATCAATCGACTCGCTGGCTGCCTGTATGAACTGTTGGCCACGTGATGGTCCATGCTGTCCCACACGAAGAAAAAATCTAATCTCAGCCGCGGAATGTGGAGAATGAGGTCGGTCCTGAACCATCCCAAACTGTCCTAGCACGCGATCTGGATGATGCCACATCTGCGATGAGAAGCAGATCAGCGGAAATACTGCTCGAAACGTGTGGGACTGGATCACAGTACCGTTGTAGTCCTGACCTCTATGAAAGTACGGACGCCAGTGCACACAAGGATTGGTCACATAATTACTCCTAAATCTATAATAAATCAACTAAAACTATTCTATAAAACGAAATGTTATATACTAACCACGAATGTCGTGCACTCGTCAAACCACAGCTTGTACAAGTAGAACTGATCTCCATGCTGACGGGTGTGGGCCGGAAGCCACCGAAGGCCACGTGGCACTGCGTCCTGAGTAATCTGCGCACCCGTCACCGCATGTAGTGGTGATGTATGAGGAAACCGCTCCCACGTCCAGATCATCAGCAAGGCGGACCATCCACCAAAGTCACCACCCAGTGAAGAAGATGCCGTCATCTGCAGCGCCGATCTACCCATCTCACGGTACAAGTAGGATAGCATAGCTGCTCCCCAAGCAAACCTCCCCGCTCTGCGCCAATCCTCTACCAAAAGTAGATACTGCAGGTGAACTGAACCTCCAGACCGATCGGAGAACAAGACACCTCCCATCAGAGACAGCGCATACGCTCTTGCAAACTGCTCTGTCGTCTCTGGTGATGCAGAAAGCGGTAGCTCATCGAAAGTCTCCCTGAGCCAAGTAATCCGGTGACGCCGCCACCAAGATCAGTAGGAGCTTGTCCTAACAGTCGAAGACACATAGCCGACCAGTCCTCGTCTGGTATGTCTACTATGACTGCATCACCGTCGATCGCTAATCCGGTGAGTGTCGCAACGTCCTCTAGGGTGATCGTCACCTCACCGAACGGCATGTGGAATGTCGATGTCTCGGGTCTCCAACGCTCTACGAGCGCAGTAATCAAACCCGGATCACCGGTAAGAGGGGCTAGTGGCAGAACACTAGACAAGCCGACATTGACGAGATACGGCAGGTACAGTGGATTGTATCGAACTAAATTGTCCGTATGACGAATGTGGTATGGTCGATCACCAGCCTATAATTAATGCACAAAACTATATTAATTCAATTCCTTCAATTCAATTCACCTAATATTTATATTTATATATCTAAACTAAACTTATTCTAATATAATATTCTTAATTTAATCTAATAATATTCTTAATTTAATCTAATTCTATTCTTAATTTAATCTAATTCTATTCTTAATTTAATTTAATTCTATTCTATTCTATTCTATTCTATTCTATTATACAGCTAATAAAAAAAACTATAGAAATAGTTTAAAAAACTTACCTCATTTGCCCAAACTGCGTCAATCCGATGGTGACCATGCCCCCAAAGAAGTTCCGGATCATTCGGAGCAGTATCGATTGTCGTAGGTGGTGGTCTCATCGAACAAGGAACGATCAGCCTAGGAACTGGAAAAAAAAAATTAGAACACAAAAAAAAATGTCGCCGGAAAAAAAAATCGCCACCGGCAAGGTATCACTCCGGTATCGTTCGCCGCCGCCGCCGCCACGCGGGCCTCGCCGCCCTCGGCCTCTTCTATGCTGCCGGGGGCCTGCTCGTCGTCCGACATAGAGGACAGACAACGACTACTCCATCCCCTCCATCAGTGGTGGAGTCAGAAAATTGGTCAAGAGGGTGTATTTTTCATATAATAAAATAATTAACTATATAATAAAAAACTCGAACTCTAAGTGAAATAAAAAGTCAACAACACAATACTCAAAATGCATACAATTACAAAATAATAGTTTGACGTATACTATTTACACCGAACTGCGAAGATATTTCATATTTAAAGCATTTTAGAATTCATTTTTTGTTCAAACTAGCACACAAACCTTGTTCAATATATGTCATCAACGTGTCGTTCCACCACTAATCATTCATCTGGTTTAAAAAATAATGTTTGATATATTTCATTGGCGAAAACGGTATCTCGACACTTGTAATTGACCGAATTAGAGACGACGTGGTTTGGACGAGTGCGGCAGTGGAAATCCGGCGAACTATTTGCCAAAATTGGAGACTAAGGGGCTTGGACGAGGTAGAGGATGTCGACTCGTCCTCTCTTTTGTGGATATCAGCGGTAGTGGCAAAGAATAAGAAATAAAATGATAGGGTCCTAGAGATTGTAGGACGTAAAAGGAGGTTTCAGGATAGTTCTCTAATGCAAGTAATAACCAAAACAAATTGCATAGCAAATTTACTTGGCCGAGATGGCAAGAAAGTCTCCCTATAATCAAATAATCACTAGTTTGAGCCGACACAAATTCCTAATTGCTGAAATTTTTTCCAAACCCAAAGAGAGTGCAATCACCCCCACCTCCCACACAGTTCGGCCACTGCCTCCACCTAATCTATCCATCGCCATTTGCCTTCTCTCTCTTTCTCAGAGCCCCCAACCACATCAGAGAACTACCACGAGAAAGTTTTACGGCTCACACATAGGAAAACTGCTGCAAGCAAATTTGTTTGGGCTAGGGTACAGGGTAGAACTAGAAAGAAACGTAGAGGTCGGGAATCTTTGTCTTTCCTTTGTTGCGGTTCGAAAACCCTAGCCGGGGGAAAGGGAAGGCTTAGGAGTAAAGAAGGAAACGAAAGGGAATCGCTAACATCACTTGCTTGATTGTGGTTGCTTTTATTGAGTATATTCGGTTTCGGTCGTGTGGTTTGGGTGGAGTTTAGATCCCCTCTCTCCACCATCTGCTTGTTCCACCGCCCGACCGTGTTGTGATCACTAGAGACATGGTTTATTATTATAGGGATCACTTTGTAATTTGCTATTTTGTATTTCTCCCAACTCCAGCTGAACATGTGTAGAGGAGTAGGGTTTTGCTACCTTTCTGTACAAATAGGGTTCTAGCTGCTGCGGCTAAACCCAAGAACCAGAAAACAATAATAAGAAATCTCTGAGAGCGTGAAGCTCTCCGTGGACTAGTCTCATTCATGTCGAGCGGGGAAATCACGTAAATCTTGGTCTCGTGTTTCTATTCTTTCTGCATTCGTTGTATTTTACATGGTATCAGAGCTGTGAGTAGATCCACAGCGTTTAATCATGAGCTCAGACGATGAAGCCAGCAAGTCTACCCAGACCGGTAAGAGCCCTCAATCGTCGATGGCTGCGGGACTCAATTCCCAGGTTATGCTGCCGTCGCACCTTCTCCTTCACCCATCGGACAGCCCGGGTAATCTTTTTGTCGGTGAGCTGCTTTCCGATGCCAATTATGGAGAATGGGTCGTGGATATTACCGACTTGCTCATCGCTAAGAACAAGATGTGCTTTGTGGATGTGACGTTACCTCCTGCCAATTCTCCGGCCGAAAAGGAGGCTCTTCTGCGTTGCAATACCATGGTAAAGGGGTGGCTGAAGACATCAATGACCAAAGAGGTTCGTAGTAGCGCCCGTTTTGCGTCGACTGCGCGTGAAATTTGGATTGATCTTCAATCCCGATTTGGCCAAGGCAGCGCCGCCAGGATCTACGAGCTCAAGAGCACGATCGTCCGTCTACAGCAAGAAAAGGCCTCGGTCTCTTCGTTTTACACCAAGTTAAGGGGTTTGTGGGATGAGATACAATCCCTCACTCCCTCGTTGTCTTGCACCTGTTCAGGTTGTACCTGTGATGCCCAGCGGCGACAAAGAGACGTCCGTGAAGGCGAGCAATTGTTTGATTTCTTGATGGGCTTAGATGACGTGTTCTCTATCGTCAAATCCCAAATATTGGCAATGAGGCCAACTCCAACTTTAGCTGAGGCATATCAGCTTGTTGCCCATGATGAACAGCAGCGTATGATCTCGTCCAATAGGCGTCCGCGCCCCGAGGCGGCTGTTTTCCAAGCCCATGGTGAAAAGAGGTTGGATCGGCCTTCCCTGCTAGCTGAATCCGACCCCGACAAAAATCGGGATGCTGAAGGGAAGCCTAAATACACTCATTGCAAGCGTACAGGCCATTTTCGGGAAACTTGTTACCCGCTGATCGGATTTCCTCCCAAGAATAGTGACAAGGGAGAGCCAGCTCGCAGGCGCGTGGATCGGGGAGCTCGTTCCTCGCCCCAGGCTGCTCAAGTTGATGCCGCCGACAGCCCCTTACCCGGTCTTTCTGCTCGCCAATTTGATCAACTTAAAGCACTCCTTGCTGGTGATTTATTACACCATTCCCAGGGCTCGGCCGAACCATCATCCAACATGGCAGGTACGTATTCTCCTAATTCTGCCTCTTGGGTTATTGATTCGGGTTGTAACGAACATATCGTTAACCATGCCTCTTTATTGGATTCGGATTTGGACTCGAATCCGGCTCTTCAGGTTAAAATACCCAATGGTACAGGTGTCTCTGTTCGCAATATTGGGACGGCTAAATTGTCTGATGATCTATCATTGCGTCGTGTGCTTCACGTTCCTGATTTTCAATGCAACTTACTATCGGTCAGTCGGTTGACAGCTGATCTGCCGGTTGCGTTAATCTTTATGGGTGACTTATGTGTGATTCAGGACCTACCGTCCAAGAGATTGAGATGGGTAAGCATGTCGATGGGTTGTACTTCTTGAGATTGTTCGCGCACGAGCACCCGATCGCACACATAGTACGTCGATCTCTGGATAGCACTGATTTGTGGTACTCTCGTCTAGGCCATCCGTCTGCTGCTAAGCTGCATGCTTTGGAGACTTTACTACATTGTTCTTTCGTTCATAATAAAGAGCCATGTCTATCTTGTTTACGGGCCAAGCAAACTCACAATTCTTTTGAGACTAGCACCATTAAGACTAAGTCGATTGTTGATCTTATCCACATTGACATTTGGGGGAGTTATAAGACGGCATCCATTTCAGGAGCACATTATTTTTTAACAATTGTGGACGATTTTAGTCGTGCTGTGTGGGTCTTCTTGTTACATTTTAAATCGGATGTTGCTCGACACCTAATCTACTTTTGCAACATGGTGCGGACGCAGTTCGGTGCTCAAGTGCAGCGAATTCAGGCTGATAATGGCGCTGAATTTTCTTGTCATGAACTCACCTCTTATTATGAACAGGAAGGCATCATACTACAAACTTCCTGTACAGACACTCCTCAGCAGAACGGTGTGGTCGAGCGCAAACATCGTCACTTATTCGATACAGTGCGTGGCCTACGGTTTCATGCGAATCTGTCGATTAAATTTTGGGGTGAGTGTATCTTGACAGCAGCGTACCTCATCAATCGTCTTCCACTTGTTTCCATTGAAAATCAGTCTCCTTTTCAAGTGTTATTTGGGAAAGACCTGGCCTATGATCATCTTTGCAGCTTTGGGTGTCTGGTTTATGCTCGAGATAATCATCATGGCCTTCATAAATTTGGTGCTCGTGGTTGAGCGGGTATATGTTTGGGGTATCCGGCTACCCAGCGGGGATATCGGGTTTATGACCTTGAGACTAAACATATTTACACTTCGCGCGACGTGAAGTTTCTTGAGAGTGTTTATCCCTATCGTGATCTTGCTGAAAATGGTGTCACCCCTGTTACTGTTTCCATCCCAGCGCCTCTTTCACCTGCAGGACCCGTTGCTGTGGAGGATGACCAGCCTGCCTTGGGGGATTCTTCTTTTGCTCCAAATGAACTAGAGCAGCCCACGTCCCCAGCTGCTCGCCTTCCCCATGAAACGTCGCCGCATGCAGGGGATTCTCCCTCGTCTCCTTGGGTTGCACCTGCTGCCGAGTCTCTCTCGCCTCACTCTCCCTCGACCAGCCCACCATTACCCTCCACCAGTCTCGATGCTGCGACCCCTGCTGTTCGCTTACGTGACTATGAGACTCAGCTGCCCGGCGCTGCACACACCGCTGTTGTTCGATTTCCTCTCGAAGAT